TACTAGAGGACTTCCTAGGACACACTGGGCTCCTCTCTCCTAGACTCCTAGAGGACTTCCTAGGACACACTCGGCTCCTCTCTCCTAGACTCCTAGAGGACTTCCTAGGATACACTGAGCTCCTCTCTCGTCTTGTCTCTCTCCTTCTGTATGAATTCATGTCCCATTAACACTCATTACTGACTTTTCTTCTTCCTCACTTTGTTTTCTCTCCTCAAAGGTTTCCATGGATCGTAGTTTCACCTCAAACCCACTGATACTATTGTTAGTATTAATATTATTAGTCACATTACTCTGACTTTTAGTGATACCATTACTTCTTTAATTATCATTGTTATTCTGCTATATATACTTCTATATTACTAGCAGTCGTAATGTTTCCATCATTGCATACTACTCTCATTATATGAATCATTTCTGCCACATTGAATGTGTTGTAACTCTGTTATGTTGTTTATTCTGTAAACATGACATCTATCACACTTCATCCTGATAGAGGACCCTCCTCTGTTGCTCTCTGAGGGTTCTCCTGATGTGAGGGTCAAAGGTCAGAGGATGTCGTATTTGTACAGATTGCAGAGCCCTCTGAGGAGAATTTGTGATTTTGGGCTATACAACATAAATTGAATTGAATAATGAGAATCTAAATGGTTACTTTCTCATTAAAACTAACTAACAGGTGCTTTAAAGCTTCAACATGTTTTTAGTCAACAAAAGACAAAAGATGATAAAGCTGGCAACGTTAATCTGGTTCAAAAACAGAAGATTACAAACTGCTGAAGCGCTTTAGTTCAGGCGTTCCTCAGGGTTCTATAGTTGGTCCTTTACACACAGTGTTACGTAATACAACATAAACAAACATGTATCATGTGTTCACAGCTCCTCAGAGCTAAACTTAATAACAGCAGTTATTAAATCATGTTTATGTCTAATCGGACACGTTTACAGACTGGTTCAGTTCAGGAAACTAAAACATTTGGTTTCAGCTGCAATCACTTATTCTTTGGTTATTTTATTGCTAACTTGTTATATTTTATAGATTTATAAATGATCGTCTCTCTTCTGGTTTCACTTTGAAACTGAATCTTTTAAATTGATATAAATGTACCCAATAGTTAAATTAATGGATTGTCATTTTTAAAGGTTCACTGTGGACTTTCACACATTTAGTAGATTAGTAGTAGTATTTTTTTATTAATGGGTCTGTTTTGTTAATTTTTTTATGAATATTAATTCATAAATGAATTGCTGCAGATAGATTCTCTGTATCTAAAATATCCATTCATTTCCAAATAATTTCAGTTCTATCTTTTTGAAAATAAATCTGAATTGTATGGAGAATTTTACCAGATTATGCAAAATTAATATTCAACAATTAAAACATAAAAAAGATTAAAATCTTCCTGCAGCATCCTGAACTCAGAGTGAAGCTGCTGCTGATAATAATAATGTGTAAATGTGTTAATGTGATAATAAAACTCACCCTGAAGATGAACAGACGGATGATCCAGTTCAGAGTCTGACACACTGAGCTGGATCAGAAGACATTTATTCATCTAACTGCTGACTCAGCTCATGAGGACACACCCATGTCCATATATAGAAACAGGAAGTATCCTGAGCGTGTTGATCTTTAGAGCCATTTCTTTTGAGAATGAACACAACAAACTAAATACATTAAAGAATAACATGGACCTGAAGAAGAGTCACAGTGTAGAAGTTACTGATTCTTCTCAAGTTTTATCACATCAAGCAAATGTAGACTTTGAATTCTTTGAACAGTTCTCACTTCGGTTAAAGAAGTTAAAGACAGAAAAGTATTTTTGATTTTTCTCTCAGGAAACTTTTACATCCAGTTCTACTGAGCTCTGAGTCCACTTCATCTTTTCTTAGTTTCAGTTCAGTCTTATTTTAGATCATCTGTGGGAACTTTGAGTCACTCTGTTGGTATTGAGGACAACAAAGACTCAAGTTTGACCTCATCATCCAGTTCACATAACATTAGATAAACTTATCAATACATAATACCATCAACACATAACCCTAACAATAGATAACCCTATCTATACATAACTAAAACAATACATAACCCTATCAATACATAACTAAAACAATACATAACCCTAGCAATACATAACCCTAACAATACATAACCCTATCAATACATAATACTATCAATACATAACCCTAACAATACATAACCCTATCTATACATAACTCAAACAATACATAACCCTATCAATACATAATACTATCAATACATAACCCTAACAATACATAATACTAACAATACATAACCCTATCAATACATAACCCCAACAATACATAACCCTAACAATACATAACCCTATCAATACATAATACTATCAATACATAACCCTATCAATACATAATACTATCAATACATAACCCTAACAATGCATAATACTATCAATACATAATACTATCAATGCTTAACCATAACAATATATAACCCTAATAATACATAACCCTAACAAAGACTCATGTTTGACCTCATCATCCAGTTCTGACACCACCAGCTGAGTTTAACTGATCCGAGTCCAACTGTTCAGACTGATTCCTCTGAACTGATCTTGGTCTGTTTGATGAAGTTTGAATGAACGTGGACATTAAGTATTCAGATCAAGTAGCTCCTAAAAATAAAATGTGTCAGATTTACTACCAACAGTCAGATATTGAAATACTCAATCATCATTTAAGTAAATATAAGGATCAGATTCAACTCAGTATCAGCTGACAATCAATGATAGAAGAGTCAAAAATACCACAAACATGCTTCCTGCCGTAAATCACAGAGAGAAATATGAAACTTTATCGAACTTTACAACACATGATGTGAGACCTGAACATCTGGGAAGTTTAAAACTGGATATGAGGACGGACGATGTGTGAACCGGGACCATTCTGATCCACAAGGGCAGATGTCAACATCAGGATGCTTCAGGGTCACATGACCACAAGGAAACCACAGAGAACTGAGTGATTCAACTTCCTCGAAGTGGACCTGCAGCTTCCCTAAAACTGAAGTATGGCAGCATCCAACAGGAAAGAAGTGGTTTGATATTAAATTACATATTTAAGTCACGATTATCCCCTAATGAGGCAAAATCAAATATATGGATCCAAAACTAAATATAGCCACAAGCAGTCATTTTGGGTGCAGCTAAAGAAGTGAATCAATGAACTGAATCAAAGAATCAGATGAGCAAAGTTTAATTCAAGGCAAGATAAGATTATTTGTACAGCACATTTCAACAACAAGGTAATTCAAAGTGCTTCACATAAAACCATTAAAACCATCAAAACCATCAAAGCAATATGCAAAAGAAAAGGAGATTTAAAAACAATTAGGAACATTGATTGAAACATTAAAACAGTCATTAAAACACAAAAAAACAGTGTAAGAAATAAAATACAGTAGTAAAATGCAGAAATGTATTAATATCCTTGAATGTGGTTCAATTAAAGGCAGCAAACAGAAAAGTCTTTAGTCCTGATTTAAAGGAGCTGAGGGTCTCAGCAGACCTGCAGCTTTCTGGACTTTGTTCCAGATATGTGGAGCAGGACAACTGAACGCTGCTTCTCCATGTTTAGTTCTGACTCTGGGAACAGAAAGTAGACCAGTCCCAGACGACCTAAGGGGTCGGGATGGTTCATAAGGTAGCAGCAGATCAGAGATGTGTTTTGGCCCTAAAGCATTCAGTGCTTTATAAACCAACAGCAGGATTTTAAAGTCAAGTCTTTGCGGGACAGGAAGCCAGTGCAAAGACCTCAGAACTGGAGTGATGTGATCCACCCTCCTGGTCTTAGTGAGGACTCGAGCTGCAGCGTTCTGAATCAGCTGCAGCTTTCCGACTGACTTTTTAGAGAGACCTGTAAACACACCGTTACAGTAGTCCAGTCTGCTGAAGATAAATGCATGGACAAGTTTTTACACATCCTGTTGAGACATAAGTCCTCTAATCCTTGATATATGCTTCAGGTAATAGTAGGCTGTTTATGTAATTGTCTTGATATGGCTGTTCAGGTTGAGGTCTGAATCCATAACTACACCTAGATTTCTGGCTTGTTTGTGGGTTTTAACATCAGTGATTGAAGCTGAGCACTGACTTTCAATCGTTCGTCCTTGGTACCAAAAACAATTACTTCTGTTTTATCTTTGTTTAATTGAAGAACATTCTGGCCCATCCAGTTGTTGATTAGTTCAATGCAGTTACCCAGCCCTTGTATGGGATTATAGTCCCCTGGTGATATAGTTATGTAGATTTATGTGTCGTCTGCATAATTATAACACACTGTCGTTTTCCATAATCTGAGCTCGTGGAAGCATGTAGATGTTGAACAGAAGAGGCCCCAGTATTGAACCTTGGGGAACACCACATGTCATTTTAGTCAGCTCTGATGTGTAATTAGCTACAGACAGATCCACCAGGTGGGGCAGTCCAGGTCACCCCCACAGCGTCGACCTCTTGTGAATCAGGACCGTCGGAAAGTGCTTCACCTGTAGCCGAAGGTCCATTCAGCTTGTTCTGTGAATGATTTAATAGAGAGAGAGCGACAAGCTAATCGAGCAACTAGGCCACACCCGGTTTGTGTCCACTCTTGATCTCACCAAAGGTTTCATCCAACAGATGATGGACCAGGTGCTCTGGCATCGGCTACACTATTGGGAGAGTGGAGGCCATCACCACCTGGTCTAAAGTAAAAACTACCGATTGGACTTGTGAGCTATTATCAGTGTTTTATCCCTTTGCTACCACTGCAGCCAGCCACACCATGAGCATCACTCAAAACCTCCTTCAGAGCCTCATCAGACCACCTTTTGACTGTGTGAGTGACAGCCGGCTACCTGTTCCAGAGGTTTGTAGGCAGGAGGTGAACCAGGTTATGAAATGAATCCAGTATTTTACTGTCTGGTGTGGCAGGTAACATATTGATTGTAACTAACAATCATCCACCAGCATCGCTGTCAGCTTCTCTCCCAGCAGAGATGGCCTGATGGTGGAGAGGGCAGTTAGTCCTGAAACCAGTGAGGGTCTCAGTCCTGGAACTAGTGAGGGTCTTCCTACCCCTCCAAACCTCTCAGGTTGTTCTGCTGTAGCTGAACAAACCAAAAGCAACATTAAACTGTCACTTTTATTGATTGAAATCAACCTTAACTTCTACCTTTAATCTGAGAAAAGAAAACACCTAAAACACAAACTGCTTTTTCCCCCCAGAGGATTTTCGACAAAAAGACAAAAAACATGTGAACTTTGAACTAAATGTGTAATTTTTCTTTTTTCTTTTCAGACAAAATCATCTCCAAATAACAACAAATTCGACGGAACCATCCGTTTTCAGAACCGTTTTATATGTTAGAAAAGTCACTGATGATCTCCAGTGATTTAGGGTTAGCAGTGATTCATCTCACCACAAACAAGTGCTGTGGACCTCTGTAATCTTTGGGTTAGTGTTAGCAGTGATTCATAGACTTCTGTAATCGTTCAGGACTAATGAGAGAAAGTTACTGTTGTGAGCTAAACTAAAAAGGGTTGTTCTCTGTATGGTGGCCTTTCTAAGACATTTCAGGCTCAACTCTACCGGGACACAGAAGGAGAGCCGGAGAACATCTCGGTTAGAGTGGCTTGTTTTCTGGAGGAAGAGGAGGAGGTGGGGGTCTTTGTGGAGGGTCTGGTGGGGGTGCAGGTCTTCCTGGAGGGTCTGGTGGGGGGTTTTCCAGATGAGGAGGGGGTGCAGGTCTTTGAGGAGGTTCTGGTGGGCTGGCGGAGTGGGTATGGGTCTGAGGACCCTCTGCGTCTGTCGGTGGCTCTCTGCTTCTCCTCCTGGTCCAGCTCCTTCTGCAGAAGCAAAGCTAACCGCCGGTCCTCCCCCTCCTGCCGCTGTCTGCTCAGAAGCTCCGCCTCCAATTCAGCTATCCCTAACATGTCTGCCCCGGGGGGGGCGGACTCTTCCAGCTCAGAGCTCTTCCTCTTGGAGGATCCATCTCCAGTCATGTGACTCCCGTGGGTCCAGGGGTGAAAGTGGACCTCCACTGAGGCTGACGGAGGATCTGATCTGTAGTAATCTAGTCTGGGGGGGGGGCGCTCCACTTGAGACACGAGGATGTTCTCCTGAAACAGAAAGTTTGATTATTTTCAGTTTAAATTCAACAACATCAAAACGTTTTTTCTCCCCTTAAAAGGAACAGTTAAAGATACATTTTTTTTAAACATATATGAAATGTGACTTTAGGGGCAGTTAGCTTAGCATAAAGAGCTTAGTTTACACTATAAAATATGAACGTTGGTTAGTGAAGAAAAAGATTTAACTTCAAGTTTAACTGTTCCTTTAAGATGTTTCAACAGAACAACTTCAAGTTAAAGATTGCTCCCTCCAGGTGGGGACGGAGTGCCTACCTCAAGCGAAGGAGACCCCGAGTAAGTATCTCGGGGTCTTGTTCACGAGTGAGGGTAAGATGGAGCGGGAGATCGACAGGCGGATCGGTGCAGCTGCAGCAGTAAAGCAGGCGCTGCACCGGACCGT